CTCCACCAGAAGAGCCCGCATTGAAATGGATGGGACTGAAAAACGTTACTGTGACATAAACTTGAATAACGGAGAGTTGATTGTCGCCGACAGGATTGACCGAGAGGGGCTTTGTGGAGAAAAGGCGTCGTGCATCTTAAAACACGAGCTTGTGCTGGAGAATCCTCTCGAGCTCCATTTGATACATCTACACATCCAAGATGTTAATGATAACTCCCCACAATTTAAGGAAGACTTGATCAATATAGAAATCAGAGAATCAGCAGTTAAGGGAGCTCGTTTTGTGATCGAAGAGGCGCACGATACGGATGTAGGTCCGAATTCAGTTCAGCAGTACAGCCTTAAAAATAACGCTAATTTTATTTTAGCTCCAGCTGGAAATACATTAGAGCTTGTTCTTGAAAAAGAGCTTGATCGTGAAAAACAACACGAGATCAATTTGCTTCTCACAGCATTAGATGGAGGTTCTCCTCAGAGATCAGGTACTGTCGTCATACACGTCACTGTACTGGATGCTAATGATAACGCGCCGGTGTTTAGTCAGCCCGTTTATGAAGCCAGTCTGCCTGAAAACTCTCCTCCAGACACTGTAGTGGTCACAGTGAGTGCTAGTGACGCAGACGAGGGAGTCAATGGTGATGTGACTTATGAATTTGGACACGTTTCTGATGACGTAAAGAAGGTGTTTAGCATAGACCGTAATGTCGGTAAGATTCAAGTAATTGGCATTGTTGATTATGAAACTACGAGATCGTTTGAAATACGCGTAAAAGCGAAAGATGGATTAGGGCTATCATCTTATGCCAAGGTAATAATTGCAATTACTGATATGAATGACAACGCCCCTGTAGTTAGTTTGAAATCTTTGACTAATCACATACCCGAGAACGTGTCACCTGGTACAGAGGTGGGCATCGTTAACGTGCAGGATCGAGACTCTGAGACTAACAGACAGGTCCGCTGCTCCATTCAGCAAAACGTCCCTTTTAAGTTGGTTCCTTCTATTAAAAACTATTTTTCACTGGTGACCACCGGACAACTGGACCGCGAACGTCAGTCCGATTACAACATTACAATCACTGCCACTGACGAGGGCTCTCCACCTCTGTCCTCCTCTAAAACCGTTCAGTTGTCTGTAGCAGACATCAACGACAACCCGCCTGTGTTTAAGGAACAATCCTACAGCGCGTACGTGAGTGAAAATAACAAAGCTGGCTCCACTTTATGTTCCGTTATAGCTCGAGACCCCGACTGGAGACAAAATGGCACAGTCATTTATTCCCTCTTACCTGGTGAGGTGAATGGTGCTCCGGTGTCCTCCTATCTGTCTGTTAACGGAGACACGGGGGTGATCCACGCTGTGAGGTCGTTTGATTATGAACAGTTCAGGAGCTTTAAAGTCCACGTGATGGCCAGAGACAACGGTTCTCCTCCGCTCAGCAGCAACGTGACCGTCAGTGTGTTCGTATCGGATGTGAACGACAACTCTCCTCAGATACTGTACCCCAACCCGGAGGGAAACTCCTTCATGACCGAGCTGGTCCCCAAAGCTGCGCACGGAGGCTCTCTGGTGTCCAAAGTGATAGCGGTGGACGCGGACTCCGGACAGAATGCCTGGCTGTCCTATCATATAGTCAAATCCACTGATCCGGGACTTTTCACTATCGGTCTCCACAGCGGAGAGATCAGGACACAGCGGGACATTTCTGAATCTGACAGCATGAAGCAGAACCTCATTGTGTCGGTGAAAGATAACGGCCAGCCCTCTCTCTCTGCCACCTGTTCCATGTATTTACTTATTTCTGATAACTTGGCTGAGGTGCCAGAACTGAAGGATATTTCTTATGACGAGAAGAACTCCAAACTGACCTCTTATCTGATTATCGCGCTGGTTTCCGTGTCCACCTTTTTTCTGACCTTCACCATCATCATCCTTGGTGTGAGGTTTTGTGGCAGGAGAAAGCCCAGACTGCTGTTTGATGGAGCAGTTGCCATTCCCAGCGCGTATCTCCCTCCTAATTACGCAGACGTGGACGGAACAGGAACTTTACGCAGCACTTACAATTATGACGCGTACCTGACAACCGGTTCAAGAACCAGCGACTTTAAGTTTGTGTCATCTTACAATGACAACACGCTGCCTGCTGACCAGACTCTGAGGAAAAGTCCATCAGACTTTTCTGATGTGTTTGGAGATTGTGATGATTCTCCCGAGGTAGGTGTGACATATCTTTTGAACTATTTCCCTCACTTCTTCCGCCTTTGTCAGAAGATGACACGTACACTCACGTCAAATATTTTCAATTTATTTCCTTTGGGTATTGGGTAATAATAATACATTTGTTTTTTTTTAATCCCCTAATTATTTCCTGACGGTTTCCTATCAGTTGAATCAAACCCCCCTCTGCCACATTTGGGTCAAAAGTCTGAATGAAAAAAAAAGATCCGAATGTGAAATAAAGATTGGTTTGAAAAGAAGAAGATATATTCAAAAAATATTTTTCTTTAAAAAAAGGATAGAACTTAGTCAAAACTATAATTAACCCGAAAATACTTTTCGTCCACTGATGTTTATTTTGAATACATTGCTGTATTTATCAATGTTCAAGACCAAAACTTAATACACTTAAATGTGTTTTTCAAATGATAAAAAAGTTTTGACCTGGATTTGGCTCCATACGTTAGGTTCTTCCCTGTTACTTCAATGGAGCTACATATATTTTGTCATGCCTCTATCCTTGGTGCTGAATTTCACTTTTCCTCAGATGCATTGTCTATTCATGTTTTTCCATATAGATACTATGTTGGACAAGATCCAGTTACCAGTGCACCTTGTACCGTAACTTTAGCTTTAAATCGTGATTTTGGCTTTACATAATGCCCTCTTTCATTTAGACCTTTTTACTTTCTAAAGAATTCTTTATTTTCTTTGTTTAAGGCGATGTAACACTTTTAATGAATTCAACTCTAACTATCCCTACTTATAAAAAAGTAAAACAATACTGAACATTCATCAAGCATTAGCCTTGCCGATATATTTTTGGTAACTTTATCTGATGTTTATCAACTTCTCCTCTCCATGATTGCAGTAGCTCACTTATTTGTCCATTACTTTGTATTTGTTGTTTAACATTCAGCATCCACTTTGTTTCATAACATTGCGCTAAAAGTGATTTCCATATTCTTTACCTTGATACAATAGACCTAGAAAAACTGTATCCACAGTTGAGCTGCAGCTGCTTCAGACATCTGAAGTTGTCGGATAGATTTACTCTTAATGACATAGATGCAGAGAAGCTCTCCTTGCTCCAAAATATTGTTTTAATCATGAGTCACTTTCTCTTCTTGAGTTAAGTGAGTATGTCCTCTGGACATTTATTGAAGAATATATTAACAATATTTACAGATAATGAGGTTATGTTGCACAATATGACAGCAGAGTAAGTTGCAGTGCTGCTTAACAAAGTTACCTGGGAGAAAAAGTTCACTCATGTAACCTAGAGGATGTGAATAGTTGGTTTTCCCTTCCTCTGTCTCACCTTGGGATTTAAATAAATTCCAAACCATATCTAGTAACCATTGGAATTGTCTGGGATTTTGGCTGTCACCCACCTTGAATGCTGTTTAATGCAATTGATTAAAATCATTGAGAGACACATTAATCAACCCAATGCTGAACATATTAGGTAAAAAGTAAGCATTGAAACATTTGCAGAGATAGTATTAAGTTAAGTACTAATATATTAAGGCAAGGCAAGGCAATTTTATTTGTATAGCGCTTTTCATACACAAGGCAGACTCAAAGTGCTTCACATCATAACATTTCATACAATAAAGTGAAATAAAATGCAGGAATTAAAAGACAATTAAAAACAGCAAATAAAATTATTTTAATTAAATGTTTAATGTGTTTAATTAAAGGCAGAGGTTAAAAGTGCAATGTAGGTCAAATTTAGCAGAAGGCGAAGCTGAACATGAAAGTTTTCAGTCTTGTTTTAAACGTGGTCAGAGTTGGGGCAAATCTTAAATCTTCAGGAAGTTCATTCCAGCTGTTTGTTGCGTAACCAAATGATGCTTTCCCATGATTTGTATTTACTCTGGGAAACACTAACAGATTGGTGTCAGAAGATCTTAGTGATCTTGAAGGCTTATGTAGTGGAAGCATATCAGTGATACACTTTGGCCCTAAACCATATAGTGATTTATATTTGAGCAGTAGGATTTTGAAATTAATTCTCTGACATACTGGGAGCCAATGTAAGGATTTAAGAATTGGTGTAATGTGCTCACATTTTTTTGTCTTTGTTAGAACTCTAGCAGCAGCGTTCTGCACAAGCTGGAGCTGCCTGACAGTTTATTTTTGGAAGACCTGCAAGGAGACCATTACAATAGTCTAGCCTACTAGTTATAAAGGCATGTACAAGTGTTTCTAAGTCTTGAGCTGACATGAGCCCTCTAAGTCGTGCTACATTTTTGAGGTGGTAGTAGGCCGATTTTGTTACTGATTTGATGTGACTCTCCAAGTGTAAATCTGAATCCATAATAACCCCCAGATTTCTGGCTTTATTTGATGTTTTCAGGGACAGAGAGTGAAGGTGTTGGGTTACTTTAAACCTTTCTTTTTTAGCGCCAAATACAATGATCTCAGTTTTGTCTTCATTTAGTTGTAGGAAATTTTGACACATCCAGTCTTTGATTTGCTCAATGCACTGGCACAGAAGATAGTCGTTTGGTGATAGCGCTACATAGATTTGGGTGTCATCAGCGTAGCAATGGTGGTCAATTTTATTTTTTTGCATGATTTGTCCTAGTGGGAGCATGTAGATGTTGAATAAAGTCGGCCCTAAGATCGAACCTTGGGGGACTCCACACGTTACGTCGGTTGTTTCTGATACAAAGTCACCAATGGAAACAAAATAGTTCCTGTCTTGTAGATATGACCTGAACCAGCTTAAGACTGTGCCTGAGAGCCCCACCCAGTTTTCCAACCTGTCCAAAAGTATTGAGTGGTCGACAGTATCAAGAGAGCTTACTAGTTAAAATAAGATAAGTTTAAGATTACTAGTATATTAAGATTAAGATAGTTTTTAACTAAATGACTTTCCTTATGTTGTTCACAATGCAAGGTAATTTCACGTTCTCCACTGTTGTAATACATCTCTCGGTCTCATGGTGACGCTCCTTGGTAATGTCTGACACATGGCTGCTATGGCGTGCCTCACATCATCTGTGTCAGTGGAACTGGAGCATTGGGGTAGAGCCCGACGGCTGTTTATGCTTGCTGCTGTATGAGAGAGAGAGAGAGAGAGAGAGAGAGAGAGAGAGAGATGGAGCAAGCGAGAGAGATTGAGTGTGTGTGTGTGTGAGAGAAATTGGGACAGAGAGAGAGGAATCTGAGCAGACAGCTTCTCTAGAGCATGATTAACTCAAATAGAGAAGCAGGCAACCGTTGGATTACAGCAGCATTTTTACTTCGATATTTGGATGTATATATTTAGTATTTACTGTAGCTATAGTGTCGACAGTATATATTTTTTCCGAAAGCAGATTTAATAATGCATTTGCCATTAAACTTTAAACAGTGGCTGCATTTTTTATCGTTGTGGCTCTTTTTTGTTGTTTCGTTTGGAGAAATCCGTTACATCCTTCCAGAGGAGATGCTGCAGGGTTCGGTTATCGGGAATGTTGCACGCGATCTGGATCTGAAGGTGACGGAGCTTGAAGCTCGTCGAGCCCGCATTGTTGCAGAAGGAACTAACCAGCTTTGTGAACTGGACACTGCGTCAGGCAATCTTTTGATCAGCCAACGGATTGACCGAGAGGAGCTGTGCGTGCAAGCCAGTGTCTGCATCCTGCAGTATCAACTCTTAGTTGAAGAGCCACTTCAAGCATACAGCATAGTTTTGGATATTGCAGATATAAATGACAACAGCCCAGTGTTCACCACATCGGAGATACAAATAGATTTAGTCGAATCCACTGTTTTGGGGAGGCGCTTTCCGTTGGAGGGCGCGCATGACCCCGATCTGGGAACCAACTCAGTCCGTGAATACAAGCTTAGCCCGAGTAATCATTTTGCACTGGAAATGGGTACCCAGATTAATGGAAATACTTATCCGGAACTAGTTCTTAAAAAGTTCTTGGACCGGGAGGCACAAGTTGAACATGTGCTGAAAATCAATGGAATTGATGGAGGAAATCCAGTCAGATCAGGAACTGCGGCTATTCATATCCGTGTTTTGGACGCCAATGACAATGTCCCAGTTTTTAGCCAACGAGTTTACAAAACATCTGTACCAGAGAACTCTGCCACAGGGACTATCATAGCCACACTGAATGCCACGGATTCCGATGAAAGTTTTTATGGAGATATAACGTACTCTTTCAGTCACCTGTCAGACAAGTTGGGAGGTGTTATTGAAATTGACCCTCTGACTGGAGAAGTTCGCCTGGCAGGTGTCATTGACTACGAAGAGGCTAGTATGCACGAGCTGGACGTCCAGGCCAAAGATGGAGGTGGTCAGGCCTCTCACTGTAAACTTTTAATTGATGTCATTGACGTGAATGACAACAAACCAATGATAGAAGTAAAGTCAGCGTCCGCTAACTTGAAGGAAGACTCTAAACCGGGAACCATGGTTGCTCTGATTAATGTATATGACCTGGACACTGGAAGCAGTGGGCGTGTCACGTGCACAATCCCAGACGATGTGCCATTTAAATTAGTTTCAGAGGTCAAAAACTATTACATGTTAGTGACTGAAGGATTACTAGACAGAGAACTTCAATCTGAGTATAACATTACAGTTACTGCCACGGATGCGGGCTCTCCCTCGTTGTCCAGTGTTAAAGCTATAACAGTCATGGTCAATGATATAAATGATAATCCCCCAACTTTTACGCAAAGCGAGTACAATGCCAACATCCTGGAAAACCAACCCGTTGGGACGTTTGTCAAGCAAGTGAAAGCCGTGGACATTGACAACGGATCTAATGCTCAAATACTGTACAAAATATCAAAGGTCACAGAGTCGGAGGTGTCCTCCTTCCTCAGCATCAACTCAGAGACTGGTGAGCTCTTCACATCCCGCCTCTTCGATTACGAACAGTCAGCCCACTTTCAGATTAAGGTGAAGGCTCAAGATGGAGGCAACCCTCCACTCTCCACCACCTGCACTATTAACGTTTTTATCAAAGACCAAAATGACAATGCGCCTCTTGTCCTATATCCCGTCCAGACCGCCGGGTTCATTGCTGAGGATATGGTGCCAATGGAAGCGCCTAAAGGTTACCTGGTAACTAAGGTGGTTGCTGTGGACGCAGACTCTGGTCATAACGCCTGGCTCTCTTACAGAATAATCAAAGCAACGCGGCCTAACTTGTTTATGGTCGGTCTGCATACAGGGGAAATTCGCACTGTGCGAACATTCATGGAGGACGATGAACCAAAACACACTATTGTCCTTTCAATAAAGGATAATGGGCCTGAATCTCTTTCTACAACCGCTACCATCAACGTAATGATTGGCGACGGGCTGCCCGTTTTAAATGAACTCTTTGAGTTTGCAGATGAGTCACAGGGCACCGATAACCTCACACTCTATTTGGTTGTTGCACTTGCAACTGTTTCCTCTCTTCTAATCCTTCTAATTAGTGGTGTGTTTTATTTTAAGCTCTGCAGGCATAGTTATGTTTACCGGTCAACCACCGATGGTCTCCCCGTTTTCCCCACAACCTACCTCCCTCCTAGTTTCACAGATTTAAGCCACTGTGGGACCCTGCTAAAAGATGATCGATTTGATTCCTTCTTGACCACAGGGTCATGGAGAGGCGATTTTCGTTTTGGCTCAAGCACGGACACTGACACACTGAAGCAAAGAAGTGCAGCCTATCAAAAAAACACGCTAAGGCAGGCAAGTGCAGGTAGAGCTAGTGTGAAGGTGAGGGAAGGTGCACCACATCCTTGTTACTTGGTCAAATAAAAGTCAGTAAAGCAATATTTTATGGATGTTGTTAATTAATCCAAGTGCGCAGAATTACATTTCAACCCTTTGCCTGCCAAATAGTAAAAGTGTATTTGTGCGTAAATATGTTCATCTTGTTGGAAATGTATTTTAATGTTCTTAGAGTTTTGCTTATAACCTAAACCTCACCTGCCCATCTGACCGTGAAGATCTGTGCTAACCTTAACTCATGCAAGTGTAGACCTTTTGGATTAATATTGAGAATAGTTGACGAGATATTTAAAAAAATTAGGTTAGTATTCTATTTACATCCATTTTTTGTAATGTTTTAATTTTTTTTAATCAAAACATTTTTTCTGCAGATCCTTTACTTCATCAGGCCTGTTTGGTTTCCTTGCCTGTTCTTACTGTTGTTTTTGTATATGTTAGTAGTCAATCTCTACATCTTTCTGTTTTGAAATGCATGGTGTAACTTTTTTACTCCTCTATTTATGGACACATGTTCTGAATTCATGAAAACAATACAGTTGGTTAACCAAAGTTATAGCGCTGACTATTATTATGTTGTCTCTGCTAAATTCCTCTTTGCTTTCATTATTTTGTTGTGTAAAACAGCCTTTACACTTTTCTTTATTGTCTATTTTCTGACTGGCGCCAAGTTCAGAATGCCATGTTGTGTTTTTACAAAATTTAAATAATTTATTGTATGACAGGGTTAATAAAACCTTTGCGCCATAATATGTATTGAATCACATGTGAACCGATCACGAGTGTACACTGATGAAAAATAAACTTCTAGAGAAGATTGTGTCGTACCTTTCCATTTGACATTTTGCAAAGAGCATGTAATGCAGGACAGTTATGTCAATTTACCTTTACCAAGACCTCTAACATAAGGATAACAGTTATCTAAAGCACATATATTCAAAAGCAGTGCATGACAAACATGTTTTTGCGTGTTAATCTAGCATAGTAATGCAGTGTGGGGCTGCACTCAGAATAGCAGTTGGAATCTTAAATTAAAAGTTTGTTTTTAGCCTCCATCGCACAGTGTGTGTGTGTGTGTGTGTGTGTGTGTGTGTGTGTTGCGCATGTTCTGCGCTTGTTACTGACTATGTCATGAGAAAGAGCAGTTTTGTCATCAAAAATAGTTCCTATGTTAATTAATATGTGTTGCTGAGTCTTGTTACAGCTTCATTCTAATTATTGCTCTTAATTTCAGTCGCGGAGGGAAGTGGAAAAAAATTCTTCATTTTGGTGTATTGTTATCTGGGCAACCTGATCAATGTTTTATGCAGTGTGGTTGACAATAATTGGAAAATGATAGGAAATTATGTCAGTTTAAAATCATGGCTCATTTTAATCATCAAATTCATCTTTATAGTACCGAAGTTGTGACATTTCTTATTCTGGGAGTGACAATTTTACACGGAAGGGTATTTATATAACAACATACGTATGTCTCTCAGTATTCCTTTTCTTGTCACTTTCTCACTTTTGCATTCTACTTTCGGTGTATATACAGAAGCTGCTTACCAGCCCTATTGTCAGGAACGGGAAGTTGGAGACAGCACTCAAACGCAGACTTGGAAACAAAAAGAGTTTAATAGTCAAAATCAAAATCAAAAAATGCCAAGGGGCAAAAAACGCAGGCCGGGACCATGGAACTCATAAGACACTAAGGGAATAACAAGCAGGCATAACAAGCAGGCATGACATGCAGGCATAACATGGACACAGGTGGAAACAACCACACAATCACAGGGGATGACCGGACAAGGCAGGAAGTGAAGTTAACACAGGTACATAAGGGGCAGGAAACTACAAAATAAACAGGAAACAAACCCACACCGTGACACCTATGTAATTACCTGCTGCCAATTGAAAGTCAGTTGTTTTCTGAAGTTTAAAAAGGAAGAATGTGACTCTATTTTTGGTTTGCTGACAATATTCAGAGCTGTGCAGCTCTGCAGCTCAAACAAATATATTCCAGGTAAGTAAAGAATGAGACGGCTTTGTTCACTTCACTCACCTTTGAGATTCATTTGGAGTCAGACTATTTCATTTAAATATCTCACAAGGTCCAAACATAAGTCTGTATTGCACTGTCTGCAATGTCTAACTTAAAAGGATACGTCAAAATGTGATTTTTTTCACTTTTATTGTTGGACTCACAGTAACTGTTTTTTTCCCTCTTTTTTGTGCACTCCTTGATGAAACATCACATTCAATACAGCAGGTAAGATGATTTTCATTGTTCTTCCTTTTTTCCTGCATCTCTGTCAACACGAACGTGAGACCATATTTACCAAAAACAAGATTCATTCCCCATATCTTTTCTTTACTATTTCTCTCTTCCTCTGCATCTATTTTGACAACACATAGGCTGTAATTAAAAATTAAAAACTAGCAATTTCAATGTTGGTCTGAAATATATCTTTCCAAATGTTACTATGAAAGTCAAAGTCATACAAAACTGAGATTTTCGCTTGCAGTTTTGGAGCACAAGCAGCTGCATTGCTCATTTTTTGTGAGCTGTGTGATTCGACTCGAGGGTTTTGTTAAACTACATGCATATTAATCATCCTGATGTGAAGCCATTTAATGAATAATGCAAGATCATGATGTGCAGAATTGTATGTTCTGTGGAATTAAGCAAATACTGTAATTAAACAGGTATGTTAAAAATGAATATGTCTAACTGCAAGGAGACAAAATATACTGCTGCAAAATGTGTCTGTGTTGTTGAGCTTTGCAGTAGTTTCATACTTGATGGACAACTCTAGTCATAGTCATTTTGCATCAGGTGAGAAAAGACTTTCTATTTACATGTATATATTGGAAAATTACATTGTATATACACATACAATGGTTCTCTGCCCATTCCGAAACTGAGAAAACACAAAATGGGGCATTGTAGAAAGCCTTGTATTTTCTAAGCTATTTTATTTCTCCAAATTGAATGTTGCACATCTCGATTACCTACTACAAATAAGGCAGGAAGAGCGCACACGGTGATTGTACAGTTGAATCATTGGTCCGCACATACTGATGATTTAAGATGATGATTTTTTTTGTTTCTCTAAGTCACTGCTGGTGGTGCTGTTGCCTAAGCAGACTTTGATTCAAACGCCAACCGTACCACAAGTCCCCACCCGTCGTCTGGGTGAATGGGGTTTTGTACATATAGACGGTTGGCTTTGTGTGGATTTGAGTGAAGCGATTAAGGCGCACTTTTGTAAGCGATATATAGGGCATCTCTCCCTTTGCGGATAACTGTTTTCGTTTGGATCTGATTCATGAGAAGAAATGGATATACTGAAGAGCAAGAGCACCTCGTTGGGTTGGACAGTCTCCATTTTCCTTTCCTGTCTTGTTGCTGCGGCTAGCGGACAAATTCGTTATTCGATACCAGAGGAGATGAGAAAAGGGCTGTTTGTCGGCGACATTGCAAAAGACCTAGGCTTGGGTGTTGACAGGTTGGTTTCAGGTCGTGCTCGACTTGTTATAGCTGATGATAACCAATATGTCGCACTCAACCAGAACAAAGGGCATGTTGTAGTCAGTGAAAGAATTGATAGAGAAAAATTATGCGCCAAGAAATCACCATGTAGCTTTAGTCTGGAAATTGTCCTCGAAGATCCACTTGAATTGTTTTCCATAACCATCGAAATACAAGACATAAATGATCACGCTCCATCTTTTCCTAAAAAGGAGATTAATTTGGAAATAAGTGAATCGACGCCAACCGGTACAGTATTCCTGCTTGATAGCGCAGCTGATCCTGACGTAGGAATAAACTCGCTGCAAAGTTATTCTTTAAAAGAAAATCGCCATTTTATCCTCAAACAACGCTCTCGCGCAGATGGGAGTAAATTCGCGGAAATTATGCTGCAGACGGCTTTGGACCGCGAGAAACAAAGCGAACATGCGCTTGTATTAACTGCTGTGGATGGTGGGGAACCGCAGAGGTCTGGGACAGTGAAAATGCATATTGCTGTTCTGGACGCAAACGACAACGCACCCGTTTTTACCCATTCCGTATACAAAGCATCTGTCTTGGAAACTGTTTTGGAAGGCACCGTTATTGCTAAAGTCAGTGCCGTAGATGCAGACCAAGGTTACAATGGTAACGTTACATATTATTTCACACACTTAGAGGAGGATTCGTCCTGTCCTTTCGAAATCAATTCTTACACGGGAGAGGTTAAACTCACCGGTGACATCGATTACGAGGTTTCTCCAAACTACGAAATAAATCTCCAAGCAAAAGACCCATGGGGTGTAACGGGCGCCAGCAAATTAATAATTGACGTAGCAGATGTAAATGACAACAGTCCAGTAATCACACTGGCTTCATATTCTGGCAAAATATCAGAGGATTCCCTCCTTGGCACAGTTGTGGCTTTAATTAGTGTCCAAGATAAAGATTCCGGTAAAAATGGCCAAGTTCATTTAAATATTGAAGATAGTCTCCCATTCAAAATTAAATCGTCTCTCAGAAACTATTACACCTTAGTAACGAAGGATCTCCTCGATCGAGAAAAACTTTCCAAGTACAACATCACACTCACTGCCACAGACGAGGGCTTCCCTGCCTTATCAAGCAAACAAACTGTCGTTTTAGACGTTACTGATATCAATGACAACGCGCCAACTTTTAAGCAAAGTATTTACAGCACACAGGTGATGGAAAATAATTTGCCTGGTGTAGTTCTGTTGCAGATTAGCGCCACTGATTCAGACCAGGGACAGAATGCACGGATATCGTATTTTCTTATTGACGGCGACGTTAACGGGAATCCGGTATCCACATATTTCTCTATTAATATAGAGAGTGGAATCATTAAGTCTACGCGTTCGTTTGACTTTGAACAAGTCAAAGAATACAAAATTCGAGTCCAAGCACAGGATGGAGGGTCGCCACCTCTAAATAGTAACGCAACTGTTATTGTACGTGTAGAAGACCAGAACGACAACCCTCCTCAGGTTCTGTACCCGGTCCAGACTGGAGGCTCTCTGGTGGCTGAGATGGTTCCTCGTTCAGCAGATGTGGGCTATCTGGTCACTAAAGTGGTGGCTGTTGACGTGGACTCTGGACAGAACGCCTGGCTCTCCTATAAACTGCAGAAAGCCACAGACAGGGCGCTGTTTGAAGTGGGCTTACAGAATGGAGAAATAAGAACTATCCGCGGAGTCACTGATAAGGATGCTGTGAAACAAAGACTGACTGTGATAGTGGAGGACAACGGGCAGCCCTCTCGTTCAGCTACAGTCATTGTTAACGTGGCGGTGGCGGACAGCTTCCCTGAAGTGCTGTCTGAGTTCACTGACTACACACAAGACAAGGAGTACAATGACAACCTGACTTTCTACTTAGTGTTGGCTTTGGCTGTAGTTTCCTTCCTCTTCATCACGTGTTTAGTCGTTATTATATCGGTGAAGATCTACAGGTGGAGACAGTCTCGCGTCCTGTATCACTCCAATCTCCCTGTGATTCCGTATTATCCACCACGTTACTCAGACACTCTGGGGACAGGGACTCTCCCACACGTGTACAACTACGAGGTGTGCAGGACGAATGACTCCAGAAAGAGTGACTGCAAGTTCGGAACAGTCGGTAGTCAGAACGTGCTGATAATGGACCCCAGTTCTACGGGAACGATGCAGCGGATACAGAGTGAGAAGAACATCCTGGATGAACCAGACTCTCCTCTTGAGGTTAGTTAAATAATGTTGCCTCATATCTGTACAGTTATTATTCTTTCTCTGTGTATTCATAATGATATTGAAGCGTGTCATCGTATTCACTTTTTTGGAACACTGTCATGTTTAATTTATGCTATTAGTTAGAGAAACGGTACTTGAATAGGCTGATTACTTTGACTTGGTCGCGTTTTATGTTCAGGCGGACTGGCTCCTTTGTTTTTTAGTAAGCTTAAACGATTTAGGTAACCCCTCGGTCTCTTGCTATGATTTTACTCGTAAAGCTTGCGGGTCCCTGACATCTTGTTAATTCAAATATTTATACCCATTCCCCCAACCAGATTTGCGGTTATTCCGTACCACGTAACAGAGACGCATTGGGGACAGGGACTTTCCAACATGTGTACAACTCCAAGCTTTGCAGGACGACTGACTCCAGAAAGAATGACTTGAATCATGCGCAAACCATTAATCAAAGATTAGTTTGTGGGTATCGATGTAACTGTGCGCAGAATGGCGAGCAGCCATCAGCAGTATGTCTTCTCTGATAAGTTGGTCCGTGGGACTTCACTCAAGTCATATCAGATGTTACACTTTTATTATATAACGTTAACAGAAAGTTTATGTTCATGTATTTGTAAAGAAACAAAATGTAAATTAAATAAGGGGGTGTAGGAGCATGATTTAGGATGGTGTACTGGCGGTCAGTCCGTGGAGTTATGTCGCTCTCCGTGGTGCTGAAGTCAATGGATTGCACTAAGATTTTCATTTGAAGACTGTCTTATTAAAAAAATCCTGGTTGAATGTACTCTAACAATTACCAATACTAATTAACAGTATCACCATGAATGTTTATCTAAATAGCAGTAACAATATTATGATTAATCAAGTCGTAGTGTTTAGTGATATTGAAGAATTTTAGATTGTGTTAGCTTTGTAATAGTTGTTATTGCTTTTGTGGCAAGCGTGAGGTCGGGGAAGACTGCCCCGATCGTTTGGATTTTAAATTTGGAAAAAGAGGAAACCAGCAACGCCACCCCGGGAAGTAACCCAGGGAAAAAAGTAAATTACTAAATGTAAGCAAAGGACAATACAAGTTCGTTATACTGAGCAGGCGGGAGACGTGTTTCCAAAATAAATATACAAAATGTATTTCATTCGCAATTAAAATCTATCGAAAAGGTTACTGTGTCTTCCAGGGCTGGGGCATTCGTGCTGGGAGCACCACAATCCACTCCAAAACACACACAAGGGTAAAGCAAAAAGGGAGTGAATAAGACACTACACACGAGGGGACACCATCTCCAAAAAGGGTTCACCAGTGAGGCCCTCAGCACCTGGAATCACAAAAATGGGAACAGTTAAATGAAACAAACAGAATTTACAGGTTCAAAAGACAAATCCAAAAATAATATCAAATTATACAGTGTAAACTCAAGATAACTAATCAATTCAATGATCACAATTACAAAATAATCCCAAAAAGTCTCCCTTGCCATCCACCTCCTGTTGATTCAGGTAACAAAACAAAATCAAAATAAGGCATATTAGGTGTTGGACATCAATCCCCATAAAACTGCAACGTCCTTAAAAAGAGGCTTGTTTTATCCCCAATAAAAAAAGTTAATTTTAACCTATAAAAAGCAGCAGCAGTCCAAACACAGTACGGTTCGGGGTAGCCGGGTGCCGAGCCCTCATTGTAACTCCGCTCCGGCACCGAAAGGCAAGCTAGCCGACACACGCCATCCAACCTGCCAGCGCCTGCACACAATTGCACGTTATTCATGGTGCGCGGAGGGACACGTTGGCGTGCAATTAATTATGACATACCTGCGCGGAGAAACACAATTTTGCGCCACACCAAAGAGTGCGGAGCGTCTGCAAAAACCTGCAGCCAGGCAACCCGGAAAAAGAAAGTACTCACCCGTCGCCAGAGAGAGAGAGAGCGCGCAGTTCTACCGATCCCTTCTCACGTGGCGGACAATTAAAGGGGCAGGACCGTAAAAGGGCAGTCATCCTGCTACACTTTCTCATTTTTTTCTTCAGCAGTGCACTGGTTAGACATCCTTACTTTTATGACGTTTCTCGACATACACTTTAGAATGAAGTTGTTTCAATCTTTTCCACAGACAATAGCATTTGTTAGGAGTTTCCTGATACGTGTATGAATTGTTCCCACTAAAGAAGTTAGTTTTTGAAAACAATGCAAGCTTTTCTGAAAACAAAACAAAAATAGCATTTTCTCTGTATTTACTCATTTTTTCCACTCAAATCTTGAAAAAGGAGGAAGGTATTATTCGTTGCATTATATTGAGCCAACATTTCATTGTTGTTTTTGTTATTAACTATCCCATTAGAATATTTATTATTATACTAAACACCAAACTCGTGGAGCTGGAGCTGGATTTGGTTGTACAATATTCATATATTATCCCCTAAGTGACGCTGTTGCCTGGTAAATCAATTCAACCGTGCAGGGTGAGACTTTTCTTTCCCCTCCCCTGTTCCTGTATATGCTCTTCGTTTCATACGAGCTCATCGGAGACACAGTTAACACTTTTAACGTTACATTGAAAATTCCCTGGGATTTATATATTTTCCCTAGTGAATTGGAATTATAGTTCATTGTTTAGTTTGCTTTAAGACCCTATTTTCACATGGCATTTAAAGAATATCCCCATGACGGAGGAGCAAAATGGCGATTGCTTGGACATTTGCGAGGAACCGTTTATCTATTCGTTTTTCTATTCTTTTTTCTCAATCAAGTGGAGGCTCAGATCCGGTATTCGATCCCCGAGGAGATGAAGAAAGGCTCACTTGTTGGTAATATTGCGCAAGACCTCGGTTTGGATTTAAAAAGGCTCCGTTCTGGCCGGGCCCGCATCGTCACCGGAGAAAACATCCAGTACGCCGAGCTGAAGACAGACAAAGGGACTTTGGTCGTGCACGAGAGAATAGACCGAGAGCAGCTCTGTGGAGACGTAACGCCGTGTAGCTTCACCTTCGAGATTTTATTGGAAAATCCAATGGAGTTGCACCCTGTGACCATCGAAGTATTGGACACAAACGACAACGCTCCCACTTTTCAGAACAGTCATCTGAATTTCGAAATAAGCGAATCCGCTGTGCTTGGTTCCCGTTTTAATTTAGAAATTGCGGATGACGCTGACGTGGGGGAGAACGGTCTGCAAAACTACATTTTAACTCCAAACGATAATTTTGTTTTGAAACAACATGTGAATCCAGACGGCAGTAAATATGCTGAAATGGTGCTTCAGAAATCCTTAGACAGAGAGGAGCAGCCACGCCTGTCCCTAAAAATGTTGGCTGTTGACGGCGGAAATCCACAGAGATCGGGTACAGTAAATATAGATGTTCACATTCTAGATGTCAATGACAATGCTCCCGTGTTCAACCAATCCCTATATAAAGCAGTTGTGGTTGAAAATGCACCAAAAGGAACTCACATTGTTACTGTGAATGCAAGCGACATAGATAGCGGTTCCAACGGGAAGATTGCGTATTCCTTTTCAAAATCAAAAGCAGGGATTGCCGACCTGTTTGATATAGATGAAGCTACTGGAATCATATTTGTGGCAAAGGATATAGATTTTGAAAAAGATAAAAAAATTGAGTTTAGGGTTGAAGCCAAAGATCAAGGTGGACTTACAGATTCTAGTAAGGTAGAAATAGATGTAATTGATGTAAATGATAATGCTCCGGTCATTAACGTTATGTCATTCACCAGTCTTGTGTCTGAAGACTCTCCTGCCGGGACAACTATTGGCATAATCAATGTCAAGGATATTGATTCTGGTGGAAATGGACAATTGAGTTGCACAATTGAAGGCAATTCTTATTTCAAAATTAAATCCAATGTTCGAAAATATTATGCATTGATGACTGATGGTGAATTAGATCGAGAAAATATGTCAGAATTCAACATCACTGTTATTGCCTCAGACAAAGGATTGCCCCCACTCTCGACAAAAAGAACATTTTATCTTAAGGTTTCGGATGTCAATGATAATGCCCCAATATTTCAACGAGGCTCATATAGTGCATTCCTCACAGAGAATAACACTCCAGGTGTATCGGTTCTACGTGTTCATTCTAAAGACCCAGATGAAAATCAGAACGCCCGTGTTTCCTACATGTTGGACGCATCTGATATAGGCGGATTTCCAGTTACTGATTATGTCTCTATAAATGCAGAAAGTGGAGTAATTAATGCAGTGGGCTCATTTGATTATGAGCAGATCAAGCAGCTTGTGTTCTCTGTCAAAGCTCAAGATGGAGGTTCCCCTCCACTCAGCAGCAATGTGTCTGTAACAATATTGATCCAGGACCAGAACGACAACCCTCCTCAGGTTCTGTACCCGGTGCAGACTGGAGGCTCTCTGGTGGCTGAGATGGTTCCTCGTTCAGCAGATGTGGGCTATCTGGTCACTAAAGTGGTGGCTGTTGACGTGGACTCTGGACAGAACGCCTGGCTCTCCTATAAACTGCAGAAAGCCACAGACAGGGCGCTGTTTGAAGTGGGCTTAGAGAATGGAGAGATAAGAACTATCCGTGGAGTCACTGATAAAGATGCTGTGAAACAAAGACTGACTGTGATAGTGGAGGACAACGGGCAGCCCTCTCGTTCAGCTACAGTCATTGTTAACGTGGCGGTGGCGGACAGCTTCCCTGAAGTGCTGTCTGAGTTCACTGACTACACACAAGACAAGGAGTACAATGACAACCTGACCTTCTACTTAGTGTTGGCTTTGGCTGTAGTTTCCTTCCTCTTCATCACGTGTTTAGTGGTTATTATATCCGTGAAGATCTACAGATGGAGACAGTCTCGCGTCCTGTATCACTCCAATCTCCCTGTGATTCCGTATTATCCACCACGTTACTCAGACACTCTGGGGACAGGGACTCTCCCACACGTGTACAACTACGAGGTGTGTAGGACGAATGACTCCAGAAAGAGTGACTGCAAGTTCGGAACAGTCGGTAGTCAGAACGTGCTGATAATGGACCCCAGTTCTACAGGGACGATGCAGCGGATACAGAGTGAGAAGAACATCCTGGATGAACCAGACTCTCCTCTAGAGGTGAGTCAAATAATATAGCCTCATCTTCTTATCGTTCATTTTCTTTCTCGGTAACATTGATAGCGCTGCCGTGGCTTCATGTTGTGCACCTTGGGACAGCATCTGACTTTTTGGAGATAAAAATATTGCTTAGGTCATACATGTTCAACTTATTCCACCCATCAATCGCAGTTATTAAATTTTGATTTAAAAAAAAAGTTCAACACTTATATTACTTTGATTTAAGTACATTTCATTACTAGTTCCCTTATGTGCTAGTACATGTTTGATCTCTGGAGTCTCCTGTTAGGATTCCACTTGTGATTGTTAACAAAAGTGTCTTGCATCTAATATAAACAAAAAAATGACTCTGTGGTCTCATTAAACATCTACAAAGAGACCTATTTGATTTTTTTTTATTTCGCAGTGCTTCATCCTGTTATAATTGTAGTGGTATGTGTTATGCTGCAATGCGTTTTCTATTTACTTATTTGATTTCATGATTTTGTTGATGGCTGCATATACGAGAATGATGCTTATCAACCATAGTAGAGTTTGTATTTTAATCGGTATTTTGCTTGACACCTCGTTATCATTTTTTAAAGATTATTTTGAGTATCAGATTAATCAAGCATGGTGGTCCACACCAGCGGTATTACACAGTTTGGACTCTACGCGACGCTGTCGGTTAATCTAACATAATTTGTAAAACAGTAACACACAGTCCCCTCCTTTACAACATTTGATAATGACAGGAAAACCGTCGGTAAGGATTATATTGGGTGACAGTCGACGAGAACAGCCTTGACATCGTTTTTCTTTAACTGTACGCTAACGTCTTTTTTTTAGTATCGTCCCCGGTATTTTGCAGCTTTATATAACATCTTGATTTTCACATGTCTAGCATACCACCCTCATCTCGGTGCGTAAAATGGCGCTTTGGCTGCGAACACAAACGGACGCTTCTGTTTTTATTTTTCTGTCTCAACCATTTGGTCAGCGGACATATCCGATATTCAATCCCGGAAGAGATGAAGAAAGGCTCCCTAATCGGTAATGTAGCGCAGGACCTTGGCTTGGATCTGAAAAGGCTCCGCTCTGGTCGGGCCCGCATTGTGACCGGAGAGAGCATCCAGTACACCGAGCTGAAGACAGACAAAGGGATTTTAGTGGTGAATGAGAGAATGGACCGGGAGCAGCTTTGTGGAGACGTGACGCCGTGTAGTTTTAGCTTCGAGGTGATTTTAGAGAACCCAATGGAGTTACATCAGATTACTGTTGAGGTAACTGACATAAATGATCATTCTCCAACCTTCAATAGAGACGCCATTCAATTTGAAATAAGCGAATCAGCAAACTCTGGTTCTCGTTTTTCATTGACAAGTGCAGAAGATCCAGATGTGGGCCTCAATGGACTTAGAGAATATTTTCTCACCGAGAATGAGAATTTTGTTTTGAAACAAAACTCTAATGCAGATGGTAAGAAATATGCCGAGATGGTGCTTCAGAAACCATTAGACAGAGAGACGAACCCCAATCTGTCTCTAAAGCTCATAGCTGTAGACGGTGGAAGTCCGCAGAGATCTGGTACGGTAAATATAAATATATCTGTTTTGGATGTCAATGATAATGCGCCTATATTTAATCAATCTGTGTACAAAGCTGCAGTCATGGAAAACTCTCCAAGAGACACGTATGTTACCACTGTTAATGCGAGTGACGCAGATATTGGATCGAATAGTTTAGTAACGTATTATTTTTCAGATCTTAACAGTGGTATCACCGATTTGTTTGCAATTAATGAAAAAACTGGCGTCATTAAAATAACAGGTTTAATTGATTATGAAAACAACAAAAAACACGAAGTCCGTATCGACGCAAAAGATCAGGGAGGTTTGACAGATTCAAGCAAAGTCATAATTGAAGTGACAGATGTAAATGACAACGCCCCCACAATAAGTGTGATGTCGTTCACTAGTCCTGTGTCAGAAGACTCTCCACCTGGTACAACTATTGGCATTATTAACGTAAAGGATCTTGATGCAGGTGATAACGGAAAAGTACACTGTAGATTAGAACAGAACGCGCCATTTAAGATTAAATCTAATTTAAGAAATTACTACACTTTGGTAACAGATACTGTATTAGATCGTGAAACTGTTTCAGAGTATAACATCACAATTGTTGCTACGGATGCAGGAATGCCTCCTCTCTCATCTAAAAGAACATTTTATTTAAAACTCTCTGATGTGAATGATAATGCTCCACTATTTTCGGAAGGTGCTTACAGTGCATTTATTGCAGAGAATAATGCGCCAGGGGTTTCACTTCTTACTGTTAGGGCTAAAGATCCTGATGAAAACCAAAACGCCCGTGTATCTTATATTCTGGAAGATGCTTACATTGGTGGATCCCATCTCTCAGAATATATGTCTATTAATTCAGAAAGTGGAGTGTTACATGCAGTACGCTCCTATGATTATGAACAAATTAAACAGCTTCAGCTAGTAGTTAAAGCGCAGGATGGAGGCTCCCCTCCACTCAGTAGCAACGTGACTGTGAAAGTAATGATCCAGGACCAGAACGACAACCCTCCTCAGGTTCTGTACCCGGTGCAGACTGGAGGCTCTCTGGTGGCTGAGATGGTTCCTCGTTCAGCAGATGTGGGCTATCTGGTCACTAAAGTGGTGGCTGTTGATGTGGACTCTGGACAGAACGCCTGGCTCTCCTATAAGCTGCAGAAAGCCACAGACAGGGCGCTGTTTGAAGTGGGCTTACAGAATGGAGAAATAAGAACTATCCGTGGAGTCACTGATAAAGATGCTGTGAAACAAAGACTGACTGTGATAGTGGAGGACAACGGGCAGCCCTCTCGTTCAGCTACAGTCATTGTTAACGTGGCGGTGGCGGACAGCTTCCCTGAAGTGCTGTCTGAGTTCACTGACTACACACAAGACAAGGAGTACAATGACAACCTGACCTTCTACTTAGTGTTGGCTTTGGCTGTAGTTTCCTTCCTCTTCATCACGTGTTTAGTGGTTATTATATCGGTGAAGATCTACAGATGGAGACAGTCTCGCGTCCTGTATCACTCCAATCTCCCTGTGATTCCGTATTATCCACCACGTTACTCAGACACTTTGGGGACACGGACTCTCCCACACGTGTACAACTACGAGGTGTGCAGGACGAATGACTCCAGAAAGAGTGACTGTAAGTTCGGCACAGTCGGTAGTCAGAACGTGCTGATAATGGACCCCAGTTCTACAGGAACGATGCAGCGGATACAAAGTGAGAAGAACATCCTGGATGAACCAGACTCTCCTCTAGAGGTTAGTTAAATAATTGAGCTTTGATTGTTTCCGGCTTTTGTACTATGGTTGTATTTACGTCAAATGATAACCTGCGTTGCTCCCCACACGTAGACTTTCAGAACCATGGACAGCATCTTTCTTGGCTTTTCATGACTCCAGTGCTGCTGTTTTGCTAATTCTGCTTACATTTACATTTGTATAGTTAATGTACTCGTTTTTATAAATGTTTACTACCTATATGTGTTTTGTTAAGTCATACTTTGTGTTGTTCAAACGTCCCTATCCTCCTTAATTACCAAAGCCCTGTTTTTTCATTTACATTTTTTTCTATTGGGGGGAAAGATGTTATTACTGTTAAGGTGAGGGTTAGAGGCAATAGGAATATACGAAGAATTGCTTCGAAATATCAATATTCAGCTTTGCAGAATTTAAGGCTATAGTCTCTGTTATATTGAGAACAGAAATTGGGGCATCTGTCTTGCAGTATTTGCTTTTCTCGTCTCTGTGATATTGATCATTTCCTAATCGATATTTGGGCATCATTATACTTCAGTCCAGTATAGTTCATGAACCAATTAATATGGTTTTAGTAGTTTCCCCTATATATTTAGTTTGCATTATATCTGCAACAGTGTATTATTTAGTCAAATATTGTATAATCAGATTACAGTTCCTATATTTTTGAGAAGTGCTTTGTGTTTTTCTTTGGAAAGGAATCTGACATAATACATCGTGGAGACTTAAATGCGTTTTAATAAACAAATGGTATATTTATAGTCATTTTATTTGGATTTCCACCAGTGTATTTAGTCCGTTTGCTTCAGACCTTAGCGGCACGGCCCTTATTAATTGACATTCAGCTTTTAGACTCCAAGGGACGCTGTTGGTTAGTGGAATATGTTCTATGTTGCGTCGTCAGTCAGTACGTCCTCTGAATTAATATGCAGGCGAGAAGGTTCTCCGTGTTCGTCGGTGTTTGTGGTGCTATTCGGAGAACATAGTCTCACTGACTTGCATGTAAAGGTTGAAGACGTGTCTACTTGTTTCGGAACGAGCCTCGTTGTCATATGAATCGGATTCAGCTTTTTTCTTTTTTTTAATTATCAATATTCTTTCCAAACACAATGACATCTGGGGGATCTCTCGCTTGCGCAATATTTTTTAATGGATTACGATGTCAAATAGGACTGCTCGTGTTGCTGTTTCTTGCGGTTAACATGGTAGGTGGTCAGATTCGGTATTCTATACCAGAGGAGATGAAGAAAGGCTCGGTTATTGGTAACGTAGCGCAAGATCTTGGTTTAGATCTGAAGAGGCTCCGGTCTGGGCGGGCCCGTATCGTGACCGGAGAAAACATCCACTACACCGAGCTGAAGGCAGACAAAGGAATTCTACTTGTGAATGAGAAAATAGACCGAGAGCAGCTTTGTCGTGAAGTAACTCCATGTAGCTTCAACTTTGAGGTGATTTTAGAAAATCCAATGGAATTGCACAGAATAACTGTTGAAGTTTTAGATATTAATGATCACGCTCCCGTCTTCCCAAACAAAGATAAGCCTATCTGCCTTGAAATAAGTGAATCAGCTGCAATTGGGGTGCAGTTCCCACTGCAGAGTGCAGAGGATCTAGATGTGGGGAAAAACGCTTTGCAAGATTATATTTTGTCGCCAAACAACAATTTTATATTGAAGCAACATGCAAATCCGGATGGAAGTAAATATGTCGAAATGGTGCTTCAAAAACCTTTAGACAGAGAGCGACATCCCCATCTGTCTTTAAAACTTATAGCTGTTGACGGAGGAACACCACAGAGATCGGGTACAGTAAATATAGATATCACTGTGCTGGATGCCAATGACAATGTTCCCGTGTTTAACCAATCCGTGTATAAAGCATCTGTAATGGAAAATACAATTAAAGGCACTAGTATAATTACAGTAAATGCCACGGACGCGGACAGTGGTTCAAATGGAATCATTACTTACAGTTTGTCTAAGACGAAAGGAAATGCAGGGAAGGGATTCAATATTGATGAAAGCACAGGCACAGTTTCTGTTTCTGGTGAAATAGATTATGAAAAAGACAGAAAATACGAGGTCAGGGTCGAAGCAAAGGATCAAGGTGGCCTAACCGGAACAAGTAAAATTACAATAGACGTTTTGGATATCAACGATAATGCCCCCGTTATTAACATTATGTCATTTTCTAGCCCCATATCTGAGGATGCAATTCCTGGTACAACTGTTGCAATATTGAATATAAAAGATGCAGATTCTGAAAAAAATGGGCAAATACAATGCTCTATAGATGGAAAACTTCCCTTTAAGATCGAATCGTCTTTAACAAATTATTACAATTTAATCACCGAAAAATATTTTGATAGAGAATCTGTCTCAGATTATAATATAACAATAACAGCTACTGATTTAGGTCTACCCCCACTTTCTAGCTCCAAAAAGTTGTATCTTAAACTCTCTGACGTTAATGACAACGCACCTTCTTTCGATAAAAAGAGCTATTCTGCTTACGTCACAGAGAACAATTCTCCTGGAATTTCAATCTTTGCTCTGAGCGCACAAGACTCTGATTGGAATCAAAACGCACGAATATCGTACCTTTTAGAAGACACACAAGTCAGTGGTAGTCCAGTTTCCACTTATGTATCTCTAAACTCTGAAACTGGAGTTCTTAGAGCAGTTCGTTCTTTTGATTATGAACAAATCAAACAGCTTCAGCTAGTAGTTAAAGCGCAGGATGGAGGCTCCCCTCCACTCAGTAGCAACGTGACTGTGAAAGTAATGATCAAGGACCAGAACGACAACCCTCCTCAGGTTCTGTACCCGGTCCTGACTGGAGGCTCTCTGGTGGCTGAGATGGTTCCTCGTTCAGCAGATGTGGGCTATCTGGTCACTAAAGTGGTGGCTGTTGACGTGGACTCTGGACAGAACGCCTGGCTCTCCTATAAACTGCAGAAAGCCACAGACAGGGCGCTGTTTGAAGTGGGCTTACAGAATGGAGAAATAAGAACTATCCGTGGAGTCACTGATAAAGATGCTGTGAAACAAAGACTGACTGTGATGGTGGAGGACAACGGGCAGCCCTCTCGTTCAGCTACAGTCATTGTTAACGTGGCGGTGGCGGACAGCTTCCCTGAAGTGCTGTCTGAGTTCACTGACTACACACAAGACAAGGAGTACAATGACAACCTGACTTTCTACTTAGTGTTGGCTTTGGCTGTAGTTTCCTTCCTCTTCATCACGTGTTTAGTGGTTATTATATCGGTGAAGATCTACAGATGGAGACAGTCTCGCGTCCTGTATCACTCCAATCTCCCTGTGATTCCGTATTATCCACCACGTTACTCAGACACTTTGGGGACACGGACTCTCCCACACGTGTACAACTACGAGGTGTGCAGGACGAATGACTCCAGAAAGAGTGACTGTAAGTTCGGCACAGTCGGTAGTCAGAACGTGCTGATAATGGACCCCAGTTCTACAGGAACGATGCAGCGGATACAAAGTGAGAAGAACATCCTGGATGAACCAGACTCTCCTCTAGAGGTTAGTTAAATAATTGAGCTTTGATTGTTTCCGGCTTTTGTACTATGGTTGTATTTACGTCAAATGATAACCTGCGTTGCTCTCCACACGTAGACTTTCAGAACCATGGACAGCATCTTTCTTGGCTTTTCATGACTCCAGTGCTGCTGTTTTGCTAATTCTGCTTACATTTACATTTGTATAGTTAATGTACTCGTTTTTATAAATGTTTACTACCTATATGTGTTTTGTTAAGTCATACTTTGTGTTGTTCAAACGTCCCTATCCTCCTTAATTACCAAAGCCCTGTTTTTTCATTTACATTTTTTTCTATTGGGGGGAAAGATGTTATTACTGTTAAGGTGAGGGTTAGAGGCAATAGGAAAATATGAAGAATTGCTTCGAAATATCAATATTTAGCTTTGCAGAACTTAAGGCTATAGTCTCTGTTATATTGAGAACAGAAATCGGGGCATCTGTCTTGCAGTATTGTCTTTTCTAGTCTCTGTGATATTGATCATTTCCTAATACAGGATATTTGGGCATCATTATATTTCTGTAAAGTACAGTTCATGAACCAATTAATATGGTTTTAGTAGTTTCCCCTTTAGATAATGATCTAATGCATTATATCTGCAACAGTGTATTATTTAGTCAAATATTGTATAATCAGATTACAGTTCCTATATTTTTGAGAAGTGCTTTGTGTTTTTCTTTGGAAAGGAATCTGACATAATACATCGTGGAGACTTAAATGCGTTTTAATAAACAAATGGTATATTTATAGTCATTTTATTTGGATTTCCACCAGTGTATTTAGTCCGTTTGCTTCAGACCTTAGCGGCACGGCCCTTATTAATTGACATTCAGCTTTTAGACTCCAAGGGACGCTGTTGGTTAGTGGAATATGTTCTATGTTGCGTCGTCATTCAGTACGTCCTCTGGATTAATATGCAGGCGAGAAGGCTCTCCGTGTTCGTCGGTGTTTGTGGTGCGTTTCGGAGAACATAGTCTCACTGACTTGCATGTAAAGGTTGAAGACGTGTCTACTTGTTTCGGAACGAGCCTCGTTGTCATATGAATCGGATTCAGCTTTTTTTTTTTTTTAATTATCAATATTCTTTCCAAACGCAATGACATCTGGGGGATCTCTCGCTTGCGCAATATTTTTTAATGGATTACGATGTCAAATAGGACTGCTCGTGTTGCTGTTTCTTGCGGTTAACATGGTAGGTGGTCAGATTCGGTATTCTATACCAGAGGAGATGAAGAAAGGCTCGGTTATTGGTAACGTAGCGCAAGATCTTGGTTTAGATCTGAAGAGGCTCCGGTCTGGGCGGGCCCGTATCGTGACCGGAGAAAACATCCACTACACCGAGCTGAAGGCAGACAAAGGAATTCTACTTGTGAATGAGAAAATAGACCGAGAGCAGCTTTGTCGTGAAGTAACTCCATGTAGCTTCAACTTTGAGGTGATTTTAGAAAATCCAATGGAATTGCACAGAATAACTGTTGAAGTTTTAGATATTAATGATCACGCTCCCGTCTTCCCAAACAAAGATAAGCCTATCTGCCTTGAAATAAGTGAATCAGCTGCAATTGGGGTGCAGTTCCCACTGCAGAGTGCAGAGGATCTAGATGTGGGGAAAAACGCTTTGCAAGATTATATTTTGTCGCCAAACAACAATTTTATAT